ATCTTCACCCTCTTCTTGCATACCAAATATTCCAAGCTTCCTCTTTACTCTCCGGGAAAGAGCCCCTCCTTCCTTCGACTCTGGACCAGATTTCACCATACTCTGGCAACCCAGATCTCACACACTTATATAGTTGATATTTAGCTCAATAAAAATCCACTTTGCAGATTCTTTGTTCAGTTGTTGGCTTCATGACTTTCTCGACCCTGTCTAATTTCTTCCCCTTCCTGGTTTCTCTTACTCTTTGTGAATCCTTTGTTCAATTGTTGGGTTCCTGACTTTCTCGATCCCATCTAATTTCTTCCCCTTCCTGTTTGGTTTCTCTTACTCTTTGCGGATCCTTTGTTCAGTTGTTGGCTTCATGACTTTCTCGACCCCGTCTAATTTCTTCCCCTTCCTGGTTTCTCTTACTCTTTGCGCATCCTTTGTTCAATTGTTGGGTTCCTGATTTTCTCGATCCCATCTAATTTCTTCCCCTTCCTGTTTGGTTTCTCTTACTCTTTGCGGATACTTTGTTCAGTTGTTGCGTTCCTGACTTTCTCGATCCCATCTAATTTCTTCCCCTTCCTGTTTGGTTTCTCTTACACTTTGCGGATCCTTTGTTCAGTTGTTGGGTTCATGACTTGCTCGATCCTGTCTAATTTCTTCCCCTTCCTGGTTTCTCTTACTCTTTGAGGATCCCTTGTTCAGTTGTTGGGTTCATGACTTGCTCGACCCCGTCTAATTTCTTCCCCTTCCTGGTTTCTCTTACTCTTTGCGGATCCCTTGTTCAGTTGTTGGCTTCATGACTTGCTCGATCCTGTCTAATTTCTTCCCCTTCCTGGTTTCTCTTACTCTTTGCGGATCCCTTGTTCAGTTGTTGGCTTCATGCCTTTCTCGACCCCGTCTAATTTCTTCCCCTTCCTGTTTGGTTTTGCTTACTCTTTGCGGATCCCTTGTTCAGTTGTTGGCTTCATGACTTGCTCGATCCTGTCTAATTTCTTCCCCTTCCTGGTTTCTCTTACTCTTTGCGGATCCCTTGTTCAGTTGTTGGGTTCATGACTTGCTCGACCCCGTCTAATTTCTTCCCCTTCCTGGTTTCTCTTACTCTTTGCGGATCCCTTGTTCAGTTGTTGGCTTCATGCCTTTCTCGACCCCGTCTAATTTCTTCTCTTTACTGTTTTGGTTTCTCTAGGAAACAAGATTGATTTATCCCATAAGCGAGAAGTCTCCCAACAAAGAGCCGAAGAGTTTTCCCGAGCCCAGGATATGTACTATCTGGAGACGTCGGCAAAAGAATCCGATAACGTGGAAAAACTCTTTTTGGACTTGGCTTGTCGGCTAATTAGCGAAGCGAGGCAGAACACCCTGCTGAACAATGTGGAGTCTCCCTTGCCGGGCGAAGGGAAAAGTATCAATTATTTGACTTGTTGCAATTTTAACTGATAGCATTTGAACCCCAAGAGTTATGACTGCTCCTTCTACAGGCCTCTCTCCGGAGGCAAAGGCTGCTATGACCCGGTCTGACTGGTGGAGATAGTCAGACACACCTGATCATGAAGCATGCCAGGCTGGCCATTTGTCTGCAGGGTCAGTCTAGAATATAATCCTCTCCCCCCTCCCCCTTTTTAACACGTCCCACCCAGGAGCCTCAAAATTTGGAGGAGATTAAGATTCAAAAAGGTGCTAGGTAGCAGCTGGTCAGGTCATGGTTTTCACTTCTTTGGAAGCATCTGGGATCTTTCCCTTGGAAATTCAGGATGGATTGTGCCTGCCGTTTACATCTTTACAGAAGGAAATCGAGAGGTGCATTAGGAAATGGCTGCGGGTTGACAACGCTTGTATATAAACCAGGACCCAGAGTGCCATTTTGTACGGCACAAACTCCACCGAGTGCGCGTGTTGCGTGCCTATGTGATTTTTTTTTAAAAAAACCACCCTAAGTATTAATGCATCTGTATTCTGGGATTGTGATAAACGTGGAAGTTAAAAAGGGATAGGTTGATCGTTTGCAATCCGCAGGGCTTGAGGTTGGATGGCTGCTCTTTCGGTTCTTGTAATCCAGAAGCTAAATTTCCTCTATGGTCAGCTTACTCTGTTCTCCATAGACAGAAGGTGTGTCCTTGAAAAGGTATCGATCATAAATACAGCAGCCTTTTGGTTCATCGTTCCGACGAGAGACCAATGATATGAATTTAAAAGTTGGCCACGAGTTATCCCTGCATCTCTGATCAAGTGTTCCAAAACTTTGCCTCTCAAATCAGCGTGGTTTTGTTTTGCCATATGGTGGGGCTTCCAAACCCACTTCATTTTTTTGCAGAAAGGAGCTGGTGAAGTATTGTTCGTACGGCTCCACCGGTCTTGGACTTAGCCAAAATAAGCTTCTTTGTGAGAAATGCTGGATCCTGGAAGTCTGGACTTCAGATGTGGTTGTTTGAGAGAATGCTGCAGCGCTGAGGCTATACCTATGCACAAATGTAATACACGGGGTGCTCTATTGTTGATGCATTTGAGGAATTGGGCATGAATATATTGGGAAGGTCGTAAAAATCCCTCTTGAAATGAGCTGTATAATGTAGCAGGTAGTCCTCATGGCTGAATTCTGCTTTTAACTAGAACACTAGCACCAACTGGGATTTGCTGTCTTATTGGAAAGGGCATGTAGTTTCAAAAGGTTTTTCTATACGGTTGAGGAGGAAGGGAAATAGACGTTCTAAATCTTTTGGACAGCTTTATCGAGGCTGCAATCACCTTGCAGAATACGTAGCTCTGAAAAGCCATTTATTTAAAAAGGCAGAAATGCAAGCCCGCTTCCCACAGCCACTTGGAGATTTGTTTGTTTGCTGTACTTGGGCTTAATTGTGCGTGGGTGTGCGTGCGCTTGTGTGCATACGCAGGGAACGGTGTGTAGGCAATACCCTTGAACCAAAGCCTCGGTGTTGGAAGGACGACACACAAAAGTCTTACTGTACGAGTTTGCAACTTCAGCACTCCGAACGTCGAATTGCAAGGAGTCAACGCAAATTTCCTTATCGGTGCTTCACTTGTATACTTGAAGAGAGACAAACTGGAAGGCAAGGGATTCACAATTATTAAGATATTAGCATTACATGGCTGGATGTTCCATAGTTAGCATCACTTAATTTGGGTAATTGGTTGGGCAAATAAGGTTTTGGCATGGCATTCAATGGAAGAGGTGGTTCTACATCACATCAGCCGCCAGTAAGAGCAGTGGTATTGTCAATCCAAGAGGGCTACCTAGTACAGAATGTTTTGGGGGATAGAATTGTGCTCGAAATATGACCGATGTCCCCTTTTGCATTAAAATAAAGCTGCTAAAATTTTAGCCTTTTTTGAGAATAAAGCTGACATTTTAAAAGTGTTGCGTTTTTTTCTTTCTTTCTTGCGGATTTTTTTTCCTTTTCAAAATCCAACATTACTGTTATAAAAATCACAGTTATCCATCCTTTCGGGTGTAGAGCACAACTTTCAACATCCATTTATTAATGAACAGACTAGAGGGAACGCTCCAATCATTCTGTACAGGCAGTCCTCGACTTAACAACCATAATAGAACCCCACATTTCCCTTGCTAAGCAAGACTTCCTGTTTTTTCCGAAAATACCGGAAGTGACGAAACACGGCTAGTTTTCGGCCTGCAAAGCCTGCAGAAGCCTTCCTCAAGCCTTTGGGAGGTCGAAAAAGGCCTCAAACCAGCCGAAAAACAGCTGTGAGGCGCAGTGCAGGTAAGGGGGCGGTGGGGATTATGCGCACATGCGTAGGGGGCGTGTGGGGGTACACATTGCATTGTCTTCTGGGCGCTAGCACACAAGTGTGCGCACAATTTTTGGCACAAGCCCAAAAAGGTTAGCCACCACTGCACTATACCATTTCAGACAAATGGTTGTCCAATTTCTTCTTCCAGTGTTGGAGCATTCACAACTTCTGGAGGCAAATTATTCCCACTGATTAATTGTTCTAACTGTCTGGAAATTTCTCCTTAGTTCTAGCTTGGTTCTCTCCTTAATTAGTTTCCATTCATTGCTTCTTGTCCTGCCTTCAGTTGCTTTGAAGAATAGGTTTCTGAGAACTTTAAATAATACACTGTTGCCGCATCCCCATGGTCGTATGATCAAAATTTGGACACTTGGCAACTAGTTCATATTTACGAAGGTTGCAGTGTTCTGGGGTTGTGTGATCCAGTGGTGGTATTCTACTGATTCAGCCTGGTTCTGGCGTACCTATAGCGCCGAAGAGCAGCGGAGACCAAACTGGTTCTCTCAGTGGACCAAACTGGTTCTCTCAGAGGAGCTGCTATTGGGCCCGCCCGCCCGGGCTCCCATACTGACCTTTATTCCCTGCTTTTGAAGCGCAGCTGCTTAGCGCGGCACAGATTGCCGCACGTCAGCTGCTGAAGCGACAGGGAGAGTAGGATTGCAGGAGGTGAGGCTGCGCAAAGTGTGTCCACCAAGCCACGCCCACCGAACCGGTGGTAAACTTTTGAAATGCACCACTGGTGTGATCCCCTTTTCCAACCTCCTGACAAGCAAAGTCAATGGGGAAGCCAGATTCACTTAACAACCATGTTACTAACCGAACAACTGCAGTGATTCACTTAACAGCTGTGGCAAGAAAGGTCATCAAATCACTTAACAAATATCTCACTTAGCAACAGAAATTTTGGGCTCAATTAGGATCCTGATATGAGGATTACCTGTAGTCGGCCGATTCTCCATGAATGGTGGACATATAAGTAGCCTGAACATTAATATTTATTTTTCTTATTTATTAGACTTTAGAGGGCTGGCCAATCAGAAAGATTGAAGGCGGTCATATCAAAAAGGAAGACAAAACCTCAAAGATGACAAATTAATTTTTAATTTACTAGGAAAGAGTCCCTCCATGCTTTATTAGTTACAATCCATTCCTTAAAATGATCCTGTGTAATAGCAACAAACCTGGCTATATACAGTGTGTGTGTGTGTGTGTATATACACACACACACACACACACACACATATAAGCCAAGCTTTTGCTGTCCAGCCCCAAATTTACAACTGTTGAAACTGTGCTTCAAGTACAACTGTGACCGAAAGATTGTATTTCAAAGTGAAAGGTGCCTTCAAGAGGTTGGCTGTGATACAGTGGCCTCCATGTTGGACAACTGGTCATTACCAGAGAAGAGTTCAGAAGACCAGTCTGCGACATGAGGCATGGGAGAAGGTGTGGGCAGCAGCTTTGATCTGCTGAAGTCTACTGAAGATGGTCTGTCAGGCGATTCGTTGACTGGAGGACCAAGCATTGTTCTCTGTTGACACATAAGTTGGCCTTCAATGTCAGCTTCTGGTTGCTGCTTTTTAGGAAGAAATGCGACCTCTGCTAATTTGGAAAGATTTCTTGGACTCAAGGATCCTCCTTGGTTTTCAGAAAGAGGAAAATCCTCTAGAGCTCGGCCATCACTGTGAAGCCTGACAAAGCTTTTCCTTCTCTTCCTTTTCCACAATTTTACATCCTGACTTTGGATTTCGCCCGAAGGAGGGCTCCATTCTTGGCCACCATGTTCGGACAACGACTCTTGGGCCGAGAGGCGACTCAGAGGTCCCCATGGGTTGTCCGTGCCAGCTTCTGCGTCGCTGGACGTTGCAGACGGCGAGAACTTGCTGACAAGCTGTTTCACTAAAGAGTTTTTCAAGGGGAGCCTAGACCTTTTACACTTGTCCTTGTCCCAGGGCAATTTATTCAGGGGTAGTTCGCTTAGAAAGGATCCTTTCCTTGCAGGGAGGCTGTCTGGATGACAAGGCCTTGTGAGGGGAATGGAGCGGGGAGCGGGAGTGAAGTCCAGGGTAGCCACAGGGCTGCATTCAGACTTGAACCCTGATCCAGCAATCGGAGTACTTGTTTTGGGGACTGAGACATCCATTGTGTCATAGAACGATAACCCATAATGAGAAGTAGTCCAGGCAGCATTTCCCTTCCCTTCCCTTAGCATCAATTCTGATGTGATAAAGTTTGGGGACAGCGCGCCAGTCCAGGGCGTGACTATCTGGGGCCTGGGTAATATTGTTGTGGTGCTTTTCATCGATCCCCTGGCACTAATCTCAAAGAGATCTGCCGAAGCATCAAAATTAGCCTCGGGGCGGCTGGAACCCGCCCATGGGAAACGGTAGACATCCCTTCCTCTCCAAGAACAGTCTTGTTCTTCTGCAAGCAACTTGTTCTCTTTATTTTTGCCTGGTTTTTCACAGAGAACCGAGGCAGGACGCTGCTCTTGTCCATTTGGGAGATCAGCGGGGGATCTGCCGTTGGCAAGAAATTCAACCAAGCCTCCAGAGGAGGCTTCTTGAGAAGTTACACCTCCCGTAGCTCCAGGGGAAGAGGAGGAAGAAAGGCGTTTCTTCAGTCTCTGGTGGGGCAAAGGACGCTGTGGATTGGCTAGCCCACAGCTGGACTGGAGGCCAATTTTGCATGTAGAATCTTTCTGTTCCGATGATAAGGAGCTTTCTAAGATATCACCATTTTTTCCTTTTATGGAAGGTCTACCTCCTAGTTCATCCTCTGGGGTGAGACTTTGTCGAGGATACCAACAAGACTTCTCACCTTCACATACATCTCCCTTGTCTCGCGTCGAGTTTTGGCCCCTGAAGTTGTAAACCAATTGGCTGGGTGACATAATCGACCCACCTTTGCCTTTTTCCTTCTTTGAGCTCGACTCGCATGCATCTAAAGCTGCGGAATGTTCTGCGTCTTCCGATGAGGTGGACGACCAAGTTAGTCCGAACGAGTAAGACCAGAGGTTGAAAAAACCATTTCTGTGACTTGACTGAGTCACATCCAAATTGTCAGAGAGAGGCAGGCTCCTTAATTCCCTGCTTGGATGATCAGATGCCAGGACATGATCCAGAGGCCATAAAGCCCCATGACTCTGCTCAAACTGAGAACTTCGCTGCTGCTTGATGTAGAAGATAACGGTGTAGCCCACAAGCCCAGGGTGAGGCAGGAACATTTCACAGGCGATGAGAGCTTTGGTGCTTCTCTCCCTTTGGCAGCCATTTTGCAATAAGCTAGCCATATTGGCCTTCTCAGAACTCTGCAAAGAAATGAAATTTGTTCTATCAGTTATTTATTTATGGAATTAAATGTCAGAGCTGGACTGTCTTCCTTTGCTCTCCTCACCTGACAAAGGAGGAATCAGAAATGTGTTTTATTCACGTTGTCCGCATCAGCCAATTTCAAACCGTAGTTACTTGAAGCTGGCTGGTTTAAACTAGGCATAGGAAACCTTAGTCACAGTTCTTGATCCAGACTAAGAGGAAGTTCCCCCCCCCCTCTCTCCCTATAATTATCTATCCATCTCTATCTATCTCTAACTGTATATCAACTCTCCATCTCTCTGTATCTCTATCATCCCTCCATCTCCTGTCTATATCCATCTATCCATCTATCTCTAAGAGTATCTCTATCATCTCTCCACCTATCTCTCTCTAACTGTATCTCTATCATCTCTCCATTTCCTTCTGTCTATAACTATCCATCCATCCATCCATCTCTATAACTGTAATTCTATCATCTATCTATACCTCTATCTGTATCTCTATCATCTCTCCCATCTATCTATAATATATATCCATCTCTATTTAACTGTATCTCTATCATCTCTCCATCTCTCCTTCTCTCTCTCCTTCTCTATCTACTTATCATCTTTCCCTTCCTCCGCAAAAATTTACATTACCACTTACCGACTCACGATTCAAGGCAACTTACAGGAAATAAAACACACTATAAAAGAAATAATAATGAACATAATAAAATAATAACCCCCCATCCCCCCTAACCTGGTGACAACACACACTCATACAGCCATTTAATGGGGTCCATCTCGCTCTGGGTTCCTCAGACCCGCTGGCAGAACCACGTCTAATTTCCCGGGGGAGGGGGCCAGTCTAATCTGCCGGGGGAGGGTTAGGTGTGATGTTCCAAAGGGGGGGAGCCCTTCTTCTGTGTCCCACCAGGTGTATCTCTTTAGGGGATGGGACCCGCAACATTCCTTGCCTCCCCGCTCTAATGGGTTGGATGTCACTGGCAAGAGATGGTCTCTCAGACGTCTTTGCTTTAACTAAAAACAAAGTCCCTCTTCTTGCTTCTTCGGAGTAGAAGCGTAAGTGGCGAAACTATTTTGCTGCTCATTTATGCCCAACTAAGGATTGTCAATCTTTCAGTGAATGACTTGATATTTTGGGGGAGAATAAAGTCCCCAGTGTGGGTATCAGTGATGCAAAAGTCCAGGTCTCTCTCATGGCAGGGGTAGATCTACGGTTTTGTGCGTTTCCTGACTCAAAATAGCAATTCCTACCGTGATTTATGGCTGCAGCAAATGCATCCCCACTCTGAAACCATGACAGCCTTATAATTAAGCCTGCAAAACCTTTCTTTGCTCTCTAGCAAAATCGAACACAGAATCCAATTCTTCCTGAAGCAGACCCTGAATTTATGCTGAGAGGCTTCTCTGCCACCGCGTCTATCTGCCTTTGTGAAATTCTCTACCCATATAATTAGAGGATAGCATTAAAATGAGGTTGGAGTCTTGTTTGGATCATCTCAGCAATTTTTTTCAGAGTTTCACTGCAGAGTCAATAGCCTATTGTCCCTTTTGATTGGTAAAATCTCTGAAATCTCACAGGCTATGCAGCTAGTCCTCATTTAGTGACCAAAACCAGACCAGCAACTCAGTCATTAAGCAAAGCTACTGTCCTTACGATCTTATTTCAGCTCTCCTTTGTTTTGCAGACGTGCAAAAATTCGTAAATGTGACCATTGGTCACAAAGTTACTTTTCTTCATCACCGTTGTTGAGTGGTTGTTGAAAAAAGCAGTTGTTAAACAAGGGCTGACTCAGCGGTGGTATTCAATATTTTTAACTACCAGTTCTGTGGGCATGGTTTGGTAGGCGTGGTATGGCGTGGCGGGCGTTGTGTGGCTTGGTGGGTGTGGCGTGGCTTGATGGGCATGGCAGGGGAAGGATATACTGCAAAATCCCCATTCCCTCCCCACCCCACTAACCTGCTTCCCAGCTCCGTTCTCCTGTGCAGGGCAACCAAAGAACACCCAGCCGATCAGCTGGGACTCAATGGGAGGCAGAGAATAGATGGGGACGGAGCCAGTCAGAGGTGGGATTTGCCGGTTCTCTGAACTACTCGAAATTTCTGCTACCGGTTCTGCAGAACGGGTCAGAACTGGCTGAATACCACCTCTAGGCTGCCTATATAAGGGACCTTATCCTGATGCAAATATACCGAAGCCCTATGAAATCAGTTATAAAGTTGGGGCCCTTATATAAGTCCGCCCTCTTCTTTTTTCTTAAAAAAATGTATTTAGTCTGAAGAGTTACAGGTCCTATTTGGAGGAACGTGGACGTCCAGGTGTCCAGAGATTGGTGACTCCTGGAGAGGGTTTTGTAGCATTTAGCAGTTATGCATGAGGATTATATAGTCTTGTACAATTTGAGACACGTTATAAACATGAGCAGATGCACCTGGATCGAGACAGAATCAACGTTCCAATTACAGGACTGTTATGTCAGGCTCTTAAATGGCAATTATGAGGATGCTCATAATTTGCAGCAGAAACCTGACCAGGCACACCCACAAGCAAATTATCTGTCATGCTTAAATTGCACGTTTCCTAAAAGATTTATTCCGAGCAGAGCCATCACCTTAATCCTGAAGACAAACTTCTTCCCAACAAAGCAGGTTTCAACGGCATGAAATAGTACACCAAGCATGGCATCGTTTTCGTCCTCTCCTGCTTCTCGGTTCAGTTCTTCGATGTACCTTGATGGAGAATAATTTAATTTCTAATTCAACAGCACTCTCGCAACACTTTTTTAAAGTTATACCCAGGAAGGGGAAGCAAACAGGCAGAAATGTTTCACGTGGCTTGTGAACATCTCCCACAAGCCCTTTAAAAACTCCAGCCCAGGATGCCAAATTCAGGATTTTGAGGCACATAATAAATAAACAGATTTCTGCTTTCTGACCCAATTCCTCGTTTGGTGATAATCATTTATCTGCGTAGTTATAAATCCTTCCGGATGGTTTAACCATGTGCTGATATATGTATATGTATTTTCAAATGATTCTTCATACATCAGATTCATCCAGAAAACCTTAGGTATCTCTAATGCGTGGCTACAATCACGGAAATCGCATTGTCAATTACACAGAAATTGTCTTACCAACTTGACAGTTGTTTTCAGACACGTTATATAGATAGTCCTCGACTTATGGCCACAATCGAGCCCAAAGTTTCAGTTGGGTAAGCAAGATAGTTGTTAAGTGAGTTTTGTCCCACTTTATGACCTTTCTTGCCACGGTTGTTAAGCAAATCACTGCAGTTAAGTTAGTCACACGTTCGTTAAGTGAATCTGGCTTCCCCATTGACTTTGCTTGTTGGAAAGTTGCAAAAAGGGATCATGTGACCCCGGGACCTGGCAACCGTCATAAATATGAATCAGTTGCCGAGCGGCTGAATTTTGATCATGTGACCATGGAGATGCTGCGGTGGTCGTAAATGTGAGGACCCATCTTAAATCACTTTTTTCAGTGCTGCTGTAACTTCCAACAGACACTAAACAAATGGTTGTACTTCAAGGACCTCTGGACAGATAATCCTTGACCCCAAGAATTATGAGCATAATTGAGCCTAAAATTTCTGTTGCTAAATGAAACATATGTTAAGTGAGTTTTGCCTCATTTTAAGATTTTTCTTGCCACTGCAGCTGTCATAAATACGAGTCAGTTGCAACTGTCATGTATATAGTTGCCAAATGTCCGAATTTTGTTCACGTGACCACTGAGATGCTGCAATAGTCGTAAGTGGGAAAAACGTTCGTAAGTCCATTTTTTTTCAATGCCGTTGCGGCTTCGGATGGTCATAAATAATGGCTGTAAATTGAGGACTACCTGTTGACATATCCTCCATTTCAAGCAGAAGCGCACTGTTTGGCATAAAAGCAACAACCAGATCCTTTTCACTAGTCAGATAAATATCTCTATTTTCCTTTAGACAGGAAAAAGCTGAAGCTGCTAAAGGGGATGCTGGAAAAGTCACTGAAGGAATGGTTGTTAAACAAGGACATTTTACTTGTGAGTAAAGCACAAAGGCTGGAGGAGCCTAGGTCACAATAAGATAGGAACAAAACACTTTACTGGGTCTCTGGCAACATTCTTAAAAATCGTTTGTTTTTTTATCTCTTGCTCAACTTTCTCTGCAACAGCAATGATCAAATCCGTCAAATATTTTAAATAAATTAGACAACCTGTTGGAAAAAAAATATTTACCTGCCTATTACTTTCAGTACAGAATTTAAATATTCTGGGCAAGAATCCAGTAGCTATATTTTCTTTTGATATAGAGAATTGGTGTTAATGAACATATTTCAACGTTCTTATAAAAAAAGAAGAGAAAGGTGAGGGATAATTTTCCCAAGGTTAATCATGAATTCAGGGAAATGTGAACTCGAACAGTTTTTAGACTCAAGTCGATAACGTTTCTCCATTTAATACACTGGCCCTGCCACAAATTTGATAGCTCTGTGAATTTAATTGCCATCATTAATATATACCAGCTTGGTATCCAGGCAGCAAACTGAACAGCAACTGTTCTGAGAGATATAATTAAATCACTCAAGTAGATGGAAGGAGCAAGCTCCTACTTCTCAGCCAAGTGATTCCTTTCTTTACCTTTGCAGGCCCTTTGCTGTAGCTCCAAAATAGGTATCTAAGCAGCTTCCAAATACGGTGACCTCAAAAATATCACAGGTGTCGGCTACCTCCAGCGAAAGTCGATATCTGTAATTTGCTTCTTTGGTGTCGCCCGAACAACCACACTTCTGGCAATTGTATCTGACAAAAAGAAAGACAACGAAGGGATTTCAATGTTGTAGGATCACATGAAGTCTCACTAATTGCAGTAGGCCTAAAGCAAGGGTGTCACGATTTGATTTCATTGAGGGCTGCATCAGGGTTGTGTCTGACCTTGGAGGGGGCAGGGGGGCATGGCCAACTCATCATCACTCGTGTTGGGGGCACCTGTGGTGGCCAAATGCTAAGGCAGGACTTCCCTCACATTATCTCCTCCCTTCTTTCTCCTTTCCTATCCCTTCTTGCATGCTCAAATGCAAAAGGGGAAACATTTCTCCTTTTGTTTTGTTTTTAGTTGGTTCTGCATGCCCCCAACCCCCATTTTCAGCCATGACAGTGTCCCGCAACTCTTTGCCAGAGAAAACGGAGCTGGAGGGGGGGGGGGAATTTCCTCTGGTAGAGGCACCGCGGATTGATCCTTTGCTGTTTCCAAGGCAGCCCCACAGGCCAGATCTAAACACCCCACAAGCCGGCTCTGGCCCACGGGCCTTGAGTTTGAGAGCCCTGGCCTAAGGCTAGTGTTGGACCTGCCACAACTTAAGCCTCTGAACAGAAATGATTCCCATTTGTTGAGAAAGGTAGAGTTTATTAGAGGTTGTGTGTATCGCAGTATTGATCCCGGGGAATTGTCCTAAACATGAACAAGGTGCCAAGTGTCCAAATTTTGATCACATGACCATGGAGATGCTTAGGGAGCCTCTGTGGCGCAGTGGTTAAGAGTGCAGTACTGCAAGCTACTTCTGCAGCCGGCTGCCTACAATTTGGCAGTTCAAATCCCACCAGGCTCAAGGTTGACTCAGCTGTCTGTCCTTCCAAGGTGGATAAAATGAGGACCCAAATTGTTGGGGGCAATATGCTGGCTCTGTAAACCGCTTAGAGAGGGTTCTAAAAGCACTATAAAACAGTATATAGGTCTTATTGCTATTGCTATTAAGTGTGAATAACAGTCACAAGTCACTTTTTTTTCAGTGCTGTTGTAACTTGGAATGATCGTTAAACAAATGAGCGTATAAGTTAAGGACTACCTGTGATTTTTGAGAGGGAGCATACCGTTTGAATTGCAGGGATACTTTGGAAAAGCAACTGTGACATGATGGATACACAAAGCTGCTGTTCTGGATGGAAATGACAGAGGCAACCAGGAAGTGTCCGCCATTCATGTGCTTTCACGATTATCTATCAGGGGAAAAAATACACAGTTTTAGTTAACCCTGATTGTATGGAATTCTACAATGGAAATATTTCTTTCCCTAGAAACACCTTAAACCAAATGTCTATTTGTTGGGGGCTAGCTCACTGGGTGAATTTACACCTTATATTATTGCAGGTACCGAATATTATATGACTAAAAAAGCAGACAATT